TTTTTCAAGAAATAACAAGATATTTAACATAAATGGAATAAATGGCAAAACCTTTAAAATGTAAAACGAAGAACATATGTATAGTTCTAGAAATAATCAATGGCATCATACTGCATTATTTCGGTATAAAAGTTAGAGTTTACATTATAGTCCTTGATTTTCCATTGCAACTCAGCTTCATTTACCATATTTTTAGAGATATACACTGCTCCATTTCAACCAAAAATAGAATAATCCTAGCTTTGAATTGCAAAAATTCCTGAGTGATGTCGGTTGTATGGTAATGAAGAATACAGTAATCAAAAACTCTTACATATAAATTAAAATTTTTTAAAATGAACTCATTTTAATAAATGAAAATGAGATAAACAGTATGTACATTGTTTAATTTCTATTTCCACTTGTTTTTGATAGATATGGTCTATTGCAAAAAGATTGATACACCAATATAATTACTTCTAATAAAAATCATTCAAATTTTAACTAATCTTTATAATTTTTTTATATTAAATAAAAAATTATCCAAATTTATTTTTATTATACTTTAGTTTAATAATAAATGAAGCATTACTTTACTAAAAAAACTAAAATAAAAATTATTTAATCAAATTTTATATAGTAAAATTTAAGAAATAATAATTCAAAAAGTTTTATTATTAGTAAAATTTTTTTTATAAAAGATATATAATAAAAATTTTTATATTTAAATAAATCCCAATAACTAACAACTTAATTAAATGAGACAGAATTAAAAATTTTATTTTGAAAAAATAATCTATTAATATTTATCTGATGTATCCATATTTTTGCAATGGACCATAATAAAAACGAAATTATTCATTCATTGATTCATTCGTGCAACATTATGTTTTAAAGTTGTAATTATGGGTTAAAATTTTAATTGTATAGAGTATGAATATATTGTGGTATAATGTGTTTGTCAACTTTATAAGCTTTTTCTATGAAAGCGGAATTATCTTTTAGGTGATTAAAAATATCTAGTTCCGTATTATCTGTAGCACATTATTACATATACGTGTGCACTGTATAATTTTTCCAAGTTTAGTTATGCGGGGCGATGGAAAACCTGTAGGCCAGGGTCTGACAACATAAGACTCGGGCAGGTCGACCGACCGACCTTTCTGCAACATATAATTTTTTAATCAATGAGATTGCAAGAACATCATGATTATTTGTATTAAACTGAACTTTTCGAATATTTAGATTTTTATGACTTATGTCGTAACTGGTATAGCGAACAATTCTAACGACATCTCTATTCAAGACCAAAACTTTTATTATAATTCAAACTAGGATCAAAATTTGGCGAATATATTGCAAAAAAATGTATTTTGGATTATGTACATTATTATTTTAATTGGGATAAAATTGAATAGATGGATCTAACCGATTCGTTTTTTCGTTAGAATATTGCCTGCGTCAGAAAATAACCATTCGGGTGATGCTGAATTTGCCAGGAAAGCGAGAAATTTTCGAGCTAATGCTGCTGAATCCTGATATTCTTTTTGATGTGTACTCCACCATTTGAGAGGATTATGAGTCTTGTAGAGTGAATCATTTATATTTACCATACGCATATTGATTGACCCAACCGAAAGAGGCGTGGGGTGCTGGGACAGCCCGTATCATTACCCAAGTTGCATGAAACTTCTGTGCAGATCAGTCCCTATCATTAGAACTATTAATTTTTCATCTCAACAAGAAAATAGCTTTATCTCAAAAGATTTACGACATTTTCGAATATGTTGATGTATGTCATTGATCAAAGTTTATAGATGCGGTTAGTTTCCAAAAATTCGTAAAACGATTCACCAATCACTATTTAGATATTCACAATTTCAAAAAATCAGAGATATTTGACCAAATAATATTTAGCGTGTTGAGGCATATTTAAATCAATTGAACAGATTTCCATTTCAAATTCCAATTCAAAACACTAGGGCATACCATATGACATACTGAATTGTCCGATTCGGGAGATTAGACTTAATTCTCAATACTGATTTATAGTTACTGTAGATGACAGACATGCTTGTTTTGGATCTACCCCAAAATCTCAACGTCCAAAATCTCGGTATCCAACATCGCGATGCCCAAAATACACTAGATGCGAATATTTCTGAATTTCACGTTGTATTTTAAGAATTTCGGGATTTTTGGATATGTGGTATATCAGGACATTGAATATGCTGACGGTCTGGATATTGCGAAGTCGGGATTTTAGAATATCGGATGTTGAAATGTCGAAACTTCAGAATTTTGGATGTCGGGAATATCGGGATTTTAGCCGTATGGGTTTTGGGCAGCACCCGCTTGTGTTTTATGTTACTCCTATTATTTTAATCATTATTTTATTAACGAATTTTATATTTTTAAATATTTGCATTTTGAATAAATCAGATAATGAATAAATCATCAATTTTAAAAAGAACATGAGAATATCATTATCAAATGCTATACTTTACTTTCTAAACATCTTTTATCAAGAAACACGAGACTTATAAAACCTAGTGAAAATTTAGCTCAAAATATCGATACATTAGGCACAACGAAAATTCGTGGATTGATTTCGTTAAATTACACGATTTTAGTAACATATGTTGTTATTTGATATTCGGAATTTTAACTTGCATTGAACTTGGCTTGGGAATTTTATTATTGGTGATTGTATGCATCGGTTTTTTGGTAGTTGGATTATTCGTATTCTAGTAATAATAATAATAATGTTTGCTATTGTAAATATTTTTTAATTTATTTTGGTTCCTTTTCTTTTTCAATTAGTCCTTTTTGTTGCACTGCCTTGCATATTTTTTTGTTATTCTAATGCTTTGCCGGTTCAATGGCATGAAAGCTTAATGCATATTTTTAATTGATTAGATTTATTTCATTAAGTATGGCTTAAATGCGAAAAATGCCATTCATAAAATTCTGTATTTAACAAATATGGCGGAAATTTGATTTTACAACCTCAAGAAAATTTATTATTTATTTTTATTGTTTAAAAAAATTTTTTTTAAGGTGGTATCTATGTATTATAAACAATACCATTTAGCGCATCTTTAGCCGCTGCTTGCAATTTCAATTGATTAATAACTGAAAACTGCATATTCGTATTTTTCTGTTCTTCAGATTTCATATAAAGTGTAGGATTTTCCAATTTTTTAGGACTTGCTGCGATTTTTGGTTTCATTGGCATTAACATTGGAACGGGCTTTTTTAACTTTGGTTGATTTAAGCTGTATATAGGCGGGGTAATATCTTGGTTTAAAGAATTCTTTTGAAAATTTGGGTAATTCGGATGAATTGACATGTTTATTCCATCGCCATGTTTTAAGTTTTTTGTTTGGTCAATATGAAAAACAGGTGATGATAATGTGAAGCTTATTAGATGAATGAACGTAATCGAGAAATCTTTAGTTTTTGATGTGTGCATATTTCAAGAACGCAGCTTATATTTTTTTTGGTTTATATTTTTTATGCTAAGCACAAATTACTTATTCAGACTTAATAAACACAGTTGTTAAATTTTAGTTTTTCATGATTTTATCAATGTATTTGATAGATTCAAATAATAACGCGAAAACACAGCGATCATGTTTTTGCGCAGTAATCAAATTTAATGCGGGCCATCCATAATAAGTTATCATGACTGCACCAAATAAAATTTGCATGATTTATCTATTACAAGTCATGTTCCTAGCGAGCTAGCAAAAATAGGGTTAGTAAAAGCAGATGATTTTTGTTTGGAAGAATTTCCAATTTTGACAGTTTGACGTATATTATTAAAACCGTTTCATTGCGAAGGAACGCCGCCGTTCATTAGAAGGAGGAACCAAAAATGGGTATTCCAGGATTTTTTCGCTGGCTGGCCTCACATTATCTAGCAGTCGTGAAAAGAGTAGCTCACGGAGCGAAACAATCCGCGGACCTTTTATACCTAGATATCAATGCACTTTTTCATACCGCAAACATAAAGAAAAAAGGTCGAGGGAAAAGTAGTAGAAAGTTGACCTCGACATTAATGCTGTCGAAGAATTTTCGACAAATGGATGACGCCATAGATTTATTTGATGCGAAAATGCTCGTATACATTACCTTGCCGTTAATATAAAACCTAAATTATCAATGGTTGTTCCACCAATAGGTATATCCTCTTCTTTACCTGCTTCAGAAGAAATTACTGTAGCTAATGAAGATGCAATGACAATTGAAGTAGCTGGTACTGAGGTTGTCAACAAAGATGGAGAGTTGCCGAGGGAAGTACAGGCTTTTTTTTGTCTGGTGAATAGGTCGCCATTACGCCTGGTACAAAATTTATGCAAGCCGCAAATGAAGCAATAAGATTTTATATTTTCCAAAGATTGAATGATCGTCGAAGAATCTTCAGATCATCTTTAGTGATTCCAGTTTAGCAGGTGAAGGTGAGCACAAATTGTTCCAATTTTTGAAAACGCAGCGCATGCAAAGTGGTTATAATCCGCAACTTCGTCATGTTGTCTGTGATGGAGATGCCGATTTTATCATATACTCGCTGATGACCCACGAACCACATCTTCGAATATTAAGACCTGGCATGGGTAAAGATTTAAACATTCTACATGTGGCGAAACTACGTAAACATCTTATCAACGATATGATGCGCCACCAATGTCTGCTGCCGATCAAGATAATTTTGATTGAAAGATTTTTTATGAATATCAATGTTGCTCGGCAATGATTTTTTGCCCAAGCTTCAAGGAGTTGGCACAGCAGTGAATATTTCATATAGAGAACGCCACAAAAATATGAGTGACTTCATTACAGAATAACTTGGTCACAAGTATTGCATATCCAATACCTCTTATGTAAATTCGTATTATTCTATTGTTATTTCGAGCGAATTAAATTTTTTTGGTTTTGTTTGATTAAAGAACACATTTTGATATTTCCTTGTATGACTTTTCATTTATTGCTGAGGTAATTTTTTATAATTGTTATATCATAAAATTTTTTTAAACGCTTGAACGAAATTTAAAATCCTTGATTTATTATGGTCAATTTCATAAACGCTCTACATAATTGTTAATTTTAAGTGGAGTAGGATCATTTGTGTCGCTGCATGAATTAGTGACCGGAGCCGTGTATGCTGGAACACTGACAACATGCTTCAGCATAAGTCAAAAGTCCCAGCTTCATCCACGCAGACAAAGGCTTATACGTTCTGCCCAAAGTACAATCTCGAACTAATTTGAGAAATTGAAAGCTGAAATCAAGCGAAGCCTTCAGGATCGGAAGAAGCCCCTTTAATCTTTGGACAATGTGGAAAGAAATTCCAAGAGTGATGACTGAGAATTTGATCAACAGTATGCCAAAGCGGATTCAAGCAATGATAACGTCAGAGAAAGTATTAGTTGCTTAATACAAAATGATTTACCAACCTATTTAAGTTTATATTAACTAAGGAAACTTTTGGTATATTTATAATAAATTTTTAATAATAAATAGACTTTTAACTGAACAATTACCTGATTAAAGATGTTTCATTAAATTTATCTATATATCAATTTCTTTAAATCAGAGTCTGTTTGAAAAAGATATAAGTCTTCAAGAATTAATATTAACTTTGTCCTAATCGAAAGGAATGTTTCTCCGCTCAAGACACTTATATTTTTATGATGATGATAAGGCCTCTTTTTTTTTCTTTATTTCTTTTATGGAATGAGCAGAAAATCTTTTGATTATCATTGATTATGTTAGAAAAAATATGATAAAATAGTTATTGTTTTAACAGCATTTTAAAAAATAGATGGATTAAAATAAGTTTTTTATAATATTTTGAATAGTTCGGTTCAAACTATTTCAGTTTGAACTGGATTATATTAAATTTGATAATGATAATCATTAGCATTAGTAAATATGTTAATTTTGATATCGATAAAACAATGCCAATTAAGATAGTTCTGACATTGCTTACTATGATGACGATGACTCCGAGACAGTTTCGATGGTGACAAAATAATAGTGATTAATGCAGTTCTGATATAATACATAAATTATAATAAGAGCAGTGATAAGCATTGGGGAATATAGGCAGGTAAAAATTAATAATAATATTATTATTAATATATTTATGCGGGAGCTCTAAATATTAATCTGTATTTTTAAATAAAATTATCAGAAAAAGAGCGTTGAATATTATAATAATTAAACCAATTCTAAATAAAGCAATGTTTAGAATCAATCTGTTAGGCTATTAATAATTTATGTTTTTTTTTATTTCGTTCTATGTTTATTACAGATTTCAGCTACTAAATAAATTATCTTCAGCACAAATTGGAACTACTGGCACATCTCAAAATGATGCATCCCGACAACGGGTTTTTTTTAGAAAGAAGCGAAAACAAACCCACTCTACCAGAAATTCTCGCAATTTGAGCTCTTACAAATTTGTTATCTTATTTATATGCATAATTTTGAACAAGATTCAAAAAGATATTGCACGTCTACTTGTTATGGTACATTATTTTTATTATTCTTGAAAGTTGAATGATTACAAGCTTACAAAGCTGGTGGAATTAATTAAAGCAATCCAAGGTTTGTACTTTCTTTTCTTAAAATCTAATTTTGATTAACTAAATTTCTCATACTTTTTAACTTTATTTAGTCAATGAATAACATATTGTTATTAATTTTTGTCTTAATTCTATCCGAATTTACATGAATTTTCATGTCATTATTGATTTTTGGAAGGATTAGCAAGTGAACTTGAAAATTTTCTTTGTATCAACTCTTGATCTAATATGTATGAGATTTTAACATCGAAATCGATTAAACTATGCATTAGTTATAACGTGGTGATATCTTATGCAAACAGGGGTTAATGTTATGATATTGCTGTACCAATTCAATAATATGAATCAGCAGATGATAAAATTAATGATTATGAAAGAACTAGAAGAATCAATAATTGACAATGGTGGTAATAACTTAATTGAAGAAAATGAAATGATATTAGAAACTCTGAAATTAAAAAAGAATTGGATTCAAATGGTGAATTATGAAAATCGTATGGATAATAAGTAGTTTTTGTTAGTTTATTACAAGATTTAGATAATTAAATAAGTAAAAATTTACTGTGGCTCCACAATAAATTACGGAACATCAAAAAATATAGTAAATTTTGTTCCGTATTACTATATACAGTCGTGGATAAAAAACCGAATTTAAAATAAACTATATTCGAAATTTATACTATTCTATTTTAAAAGTTCATTCTCTATTTTAAAATCCCATTAGTTTCTTTTAAGGTAAACTCTACATTCTATACGATATTTTTCAATTGGATTTTGACTGGAAGACATTGATGCCAAGTAAGTCCTACATTAACATTTTCAGCTTTCCATTTTAGATCGGTGTTTCAGATTATTGTCTTCTTGCAACACTCAATCTATGTATCATTGTCAAAAATTTTATCGTAAAAGAACTTCCTTTTAGAGGATGTTTAAACGTACGAAATATTAAATGAAACACCAAAGTGTAACATTAATTTTAGAATATTCGATATGGCACAAAATAGGGTTATATTTTTAATATTGGTCATGTTCGAATTTTAAAAACGAATCATTTATGCATACTTCTCATTGTGTTAATCATTAATTAGTCGAACAGTTAACGATAATAATAAGCATCATAAAACCATAAAGACACAGATCGTGAATTTGTAAGTTTAACGCCATCTTACAATCGATTAGGAATATCAGTCCTCTAAATTTTTATTGTATATGTATTAAATGTCCGTTCTGATATCACCAAGATGGTTTAAATTCTAAAAATTAACACATGTAGAAAAACAAGTTTTTTTATCAACCGAGGTGATACTAATTTGTCTAGCATAAAATTGGATTTCAGTGAAGAACTATATTAAATATCCAACAGTATATAAATATTATTAGTTAGAAATTTAAATTATTAAATATTCAATAGAGTATATATAAAATATTATTAAATATAATATAAATAACGATTAGCTTTGATTTGATTATAAAAGTAATTTCGAACTCACATAAAAAAAGCAAGCGAAAAAACCAAAAATTTATACCCATATAATAAAAATCAAAATGAATCCAAATATAAACCAAGAAAATTCTCGTTTCCCCGATAATCATCATAACGTGCTACGCTATTTTTATTCAGTCGGTGAAGTTACTAGTCGACTTGAGGAATTTCATCATACGGAACAACAAAATAATGAGCCTATCGAACATTTGGTCCGATTTCATTGAAGGCTCCGATTTTCCTATAGTAAATGAAGAAAACGTGTTGCTCGATTTAGACCGCAGCTTTGATTCCAATATCCCAACAATAGAAGTTGAGTCGGTTGAATCCAATTTACAACCTAATCCCTTAACCAATAATGAAGTGTCACAGCTTGATCAAGAAAATTTTCGTTTCCCCGATAATCATCATAACGTGCTACGCTATTTTTATTCAGTCGATGCAATTACTACTCGACTTGAGGAATTGCATCAAAAGGAACAACAAAATAATGAATCTATCGACATTTGGTCCAATTTCATTAGAGGCTCCGACCTTCCTATAGTAAATGAAGAAAATGTGTTGCTCGATTTAGATCGTAGTTTTGATTCCGATAGTCCAATAATAGATATTGAGGTGATTGAGTCCGATTGACAACCTAATCTCTCGAAGCGAGCATATTCCTGCACAATTAGACTCATGATACATTTATTGCAAGCACCACCGTTTCGAACTAAGAATAAGATATGTTTTAAGTTCTGATTATTCTCTATTTCATTAATTTAAGGTTTTTTTGCTATTCTTTAACATAAGATTCTTTTATACCATTCCTTCGTTTATGTTCTATTTCTTTTCGATTTCTGTTCGTTTTATAATATTTTAAAATGTATGGACGTTCTGTTTCTGTCACTCGTGTTAAGTAAGTTCGTTCCCTTTTTGGGAAAAAAAAAAAAAAAAAGTTCGTTCTATTCGTTCTGTTTCCCTTAGGTTGGTTTCGTTACTTTTAGATTCGTTCTGCTTCTGTCACTCGTGTATATAGAGAGAGAGAGATTTCCGTCGAGAACTTTCTGCTAAATATAATCATGTGAGAAATGAATATAACCTGCATTTAATATATGAAAGGTTAATTAAATTATAAGTAATATGAAAGTTTAACAAGCATAATAAATACAAACTAATTATATTAGTTATAAGATTAAGCTGAACTTAATTCTTTTAGTATTTTTTATAATTTAATTTAATAATAAAATTAAGCAAAGCTTTTTGCTTTGAACAAATTGTTATTTTAAAATTAAAAATAATTTTTAGGAATTATTATTATAAATTTATAATTTAATAAATCTATATTATGTAAGTATATTATTGAATATATAATAAATATATATTTCAAATTTTGGCAAAATCAGATCATTAATTGTAAATATTTTTATCTATACCACAAACAAGATTTTTTTAATAGTACAAGACATGTTAATTTAATAAAATCATGTGAAATTTCATATCAAAATATGCCAAATTGAAAAAATACAAAATATATATTTAAAAGAATATATATTATAAAAACCAAAATATATAAGTTATATTTTTTGATATGTTTTTAATTTAATATTTATATTAATATATATTATTATTATAATATAATTAAGTTTATTATTTAAGCTTTTATAATAATATAATTTTATATATTTATAATATATATTTAATTATTTAATTAAGATAAAAAATTTAAAATAATAATTAAAAAAGCTTATAATAATTATAAAAATTATATATACAGTGACAACCAAAAGTAATGACTCAGGAGCTAAATTTACTAATAAAACATAGTGAAAATTGAAATTTTCTTTCTATATTAAAATTTATAATTATAATAAGAAATAATTTTTATTTTTATATTAAAATAAAGTTTATTAATTGTAGTTTAACATATATTTTTTCAGATTTTTTAGATTTTTTCTGAAAGAGTTACTCTAATTGTAAAGTTAATGCAAAAATTTTTACTAATTAAAAATAAAATTTAATTAATAAAAATTTTTGCACTAACTTTACAATTAGAGCAACTCTTTCAGAAAAAATCTAAAAAATCTGAAAAAAATATATGTTAAACTATAACTAATAAACTTTATTTTAATGTAAAAATAAAAATTATTTCTTATTAAAATTATAAATTTTAATATAGAGAAAATTTCAATTTTCACTATATTTTATTAGTAAATTTAGTCTCTGAGTCATTATTTTTGATTATCACTATATAAGTACTTAATAAAATTATTTAAAAAATAAATAATAATTATATCTATCTTATTTAATTAAGTTATTAGATATTGAGATTTATTTAAATCTAAAATTTTTTAATATATATCTTTTATAAAAAAAATTTTTGCTAATAATAACTTTTTTTAATTATTATTCTTTAAATTTTACTATATAAAATTTGATTAAAAATAATATTTAAAATATATTTTTTTTAAAGAAAATAATTTTATTTTAGTTGCTTAATTAAAGTATAATAGAATAGTTAAAATAATATAATAATTAGATTATCTCTCTTTTGAATCCTTTTAGTTTAGATCTTTATTTTGCACTATTTATATTATAGATTAGCTTTGTATTATAATTTTAAGAAGATCAATTTCACTCTGAATATACAAATGATCATTATATATTTAATACATCTAGATTTAGTATATTATTACTCAGATAATCACTATATATATTATACTTAGATTATTAATATTTTTAATTAATTATTTTCTTTATAATTTTATTTATTCTTTTTTATTATTATTTATTATTATTTATAATTATTATTACTTATTGGATTATAATTAGTTGCCTTCTAGAGATGCAAATTAAGTTAATTAATTTATTAAATCATATGTATTTTAAAAATAAAAATTATTATTAATTTATTCATTTTTTGTATTCATTTCTTTTACTATAAATAAGATTTATCTATTCTATAATTTTCTTTCAGATCTAAATACTTTTAAATAATAAAAATAATCATAAGTTATAAAATTAAAATATTTATATCATATTTTATCTTGTTTATAATCATTAACAAAATAATCTTATAACTTGATAATAGCAGATATGATTATTACAAATATTATTCTTTAATATCTTATATATTATATATCATATATTTTACATATACATCTTAGTTTTATTTATTAAAATTTTAATAAAAATAAACTCAGAACAATTCATATAATTCATGACAAGTATAACTGAATTAATCAAGATAGTAAAAGAAGATGATCTCTCTGATTCTAAGCCTTTATCTCATTTTTCAGTTAAATTATCAACTTACTTAGAAGAATCAAATAAAAATATACTTATTTGGATTATACAAACTAAAACTGTATTTCTAGCTCAAGAAATTACAGATAAAAAGATATAAGTATAATATATTGTTATCTTCTTTACTGATACAGTATTATACTGATATCTTAATAAATATAAGACTAATAATCATATAATTTCTTTTAATAATTAGAATAATTTTGTTATAATACTTAGAAAAGTATTTTAATATCTTATTATCAGTAATATTTTTATAAATAACTTTAGCTTCTTCATCAAACAGGATTTATACAAGATTATAGTATCAAATTCAGAAATATAGTTGAATAAGTTACAGATATAAGTGATCTAGATCAAGTTATATACTTTATAGAAGATTTAAAATCTGCTACCAAAATAAAAATTAGTTATCAGATATCAGAAATTTTAGAAGATTAGCCATTTACTATAATATTATAATATATAAATAAGATAGTTTTCTAGATCTATCAAGTAGAAATAATAATAGCTATCACTCACAGAATCAGTACAAAAGTCATCAAAATAATGGCTTTATACCTATGAAATTAGACTAAACAGAGAGTTATTATCATAATAGAAAGAGTAATAATAATCAGAAGAATAATAAGCTTAAAGATATATATTATAACTGTGATAAATCAGATTATTTTGCCAAAAATTGTTATTCAAAATCAAAGGCCAAAATTATAAATATAGAAGATAAACAAGAAGAATTTTCATAATTTTATAAGAGAGTTGAATTTGCTCATCTTGAAGATAATAGAAAGAGATTATTAAAATTTAATGGTCAAGTAAATGGCAAGTCAACATGAATATTGCTAGATAGTAATATATTAAGAAACTTTATAAATAAAAAATTTGTATAAAAAATAAAGTCAAGTTGCAGAAGATAATATCAGTTACTATAAAACTTGCAAATAACAAGAAAATTACTGCTATTATCATAATAAAAATTAATAAATTAAAATTAGATATCTATAAAATACATAAGATGAATATATAAGTATTAAAATTGCAGAGATATAATCTTATTTTAGATAAATCTTGATTATTTTATACCAATTCTATTATAAACTGAAAAAATAATATCATTATCTTTATCTATAAATCAAAAATAATAAAAGTATAAGCTAATAATGAAATAAAGTTCAGCTTCAGTTGCAATTCAATTTATATTTCAAGATAATAAATTGCAAACTTATTAACAGATATAGTACTTTTCATCATATATCTCAATAATACTGAAGATAAAGAAGAAATAAAAGAAAAATCACTTTTATCAGAAGTATTAAAAATCAAGAAGAAATATAAAGATATATTTTTAGAAATCTTATCAAATCAACTATTATTATTATTATAGTAATATAAATTTCTTTAATTTCATAATTTTTCAATCATGAAAAATTTGACCAATCAAATAATCTTTGGAATACATGTGATTTCAAATAATATAATTTGTGTATCAATTATGGATTCAATCATGATTTAACAATATTTTTACAATATTCTTGTAATATTTTTGTAATATTCTAAGATTATCAATGAATAATTAGCCCTAAAATCAATAACAATTCATAAACAGTTTAATAACAGTTCAGAAATGCTTTAGAAATGGTTCATTAATAAATTTTATTTATTTTTATCATTTATCTTTTCTTTTTAGAATATATATTTTATCTTTTTATTTTATTTCATCATTTGTATTATCATTTAACTTACCATATATATCTTATATCTTAATTTTATTTGTTTGTTTATTAATTCTTTACCCTAAAAATTATAATTGTAATCTAGAATAGCAAATAAGTTTAGATAGAAACTTGTAAAATCTCAAAGATATATAAATATCTCTGTTTTGAGATC